GAAGGAATACGCCATATGCTTAGACTTCTGTGTTCATTGGGATTTACAACTAATATCTTATGGACGATTCTGACAATGTCAAAATTAGTGATTTTGGACTTGGTATGTTCTTGACTCAACGTCTAAGATCATTTAAAAATTCATTGTTTTGTTTATATTACTCTTTTATTGCTTCTTTTTGTTGAATTTACCATTGCAGCAAGGATTTTAATAGGGGTATACCTCATGGCACTAGTTCTGACATGCGGGGTGTCCAGGCCACCTGAAGACTTTGACAATGCTGTAAATTAACATTTACAGCTTGGGTTCGAGCTACTGAGTATTTCAGAACAAGCCAGAAAGGAGGAGGTCCTGCAAGCACTTAAAGAGGTATCTTCTCTGATAATTGGAAAGAAGATAGCAAAAACTTCTTTATAAAACTATTGCAAATACGTTTTGCTATCTTCTTTCCAATTATCAGAGAAGATCCCTCTTTCAAGTGATGTAGGACCTCCCTCCTTTCTAAGCTTGTTCTGAAATTACTCAGTAGCTCGAACCCAAGTCGTAAATGTCAACTTTTACGCATTGTCAAAGTCTCAGGTGGCCTGGACACTCCGACATGTCAACTAGTGCCTGAGGTATACCCCTATAAAAATCCTTGCTAATGGTAAATTCAACAAAAGAAAGCCAATAAAAAGAGTTTTAAACATAAACACTGAATTTTTAAATGATTAGACATTGAGTCAAACTACCCGCTATTTAAAGGAGGAATAGGAATAACATTCTTTATTATGATGGTCAACTTGAATGGACCCAATGGCTGAAGAGCAAATAGATTATGAAGATGAGGAGTATGGAGGAGGTCAGAAAATGATGTATCAGGGAGGTGGAGCCATACCTGCTCTTGCAGATAAAGAACTGATGGGAGAAGATGATGAATTTGACGAGCTCTATAATGATGTTAATGTTGGAGAGGGTATATTTGACTTTCAGCAGCCTGAAGCACCACCTCCGAAGAGTGCCAGTGGTGTAGGACTGTGGGTAATGGAGGTCTTCAAACTCAGAAACCTGAGGTTCCTAAACCTCGGCTGCAATCTGGGGGTTCACAAGGCCGAAACATCCCTGGTGTTTCTGTTGAAGTAAAGTTTTTAATTCTGGGACCTAATTTCCTGCTCAAAATGAGGTATAGGTGGCTGTTAATGGACCAGACATGGGATCTGCGAGTTGTGCAGATGGGGCTTCTGTTTCACAAAAAAGGAATGTTGTGGAGATAAATCAAGATGCCCCGATCAGAAATACTTGGTTTCAAGGGTCTACGTCAGTGCCTCCAAAAGCTGCGCTTGATCCCTCTAATATGCCTGGAAGAGTAGCCAATGAGCCTCCACCTTTGCTAAATCCTGTCACTAGTGGCCCTCAAGGTGTTATACAGATTCCAGGTAATCAGATGGATGTACATGCTAATGTCAATCGTCCTATGGTCAATGATAATCAGATCCGGCAACCTATGGAGAATGGTGGGACTATGCTGTTTGTAGGAGAATTACACTGGTGGACAACTGATGCAGAGCTTGAAAGTGTTTTATCTCAGTATTTAATTTATGATTGCATTTTCAAATACCTCAATGTAATTCTAACTTCATTTAGTTTTAAAAAACCTGCAGATGGTATATTTGTGCATATAGCCCCATAAAGAGTTTTGTGCTCATTCCTGTTGAGTTATTTCCTACCACGCGGAGCTTATGCAATTACGCCACGCCACGTCTGTTTAATCCGTCCCGTCAGTATAAAATGAAATGAAACTTCAGATTTCAACATTCTAACTCAATTTCAACTTCAATAGAAATATTTGTCAAGTGTCAACACAAGTTATAGGCATAATCAAGCAAGTTTCTACAATTACCAATTGCCTCCATCTGCATCACGAGACTGGTAGAAATCGTTTGGCTGAACAATGTTGACATCTTCAAACTCGTTGTCATGTTAATGAACAAAAGAACAAAGTTTAGAAATAACATGAACAAAAGAACAAAGTTTAGAAATAATTATCTCAATAGCACAAACTAGAAGTAAGAAAAAAGTTTAAAACTATTGATCGCCTATTTGCCGCCTTCTTCAACTTTTGATAGTTGGCGTAAATGTATCATGGCTTTAAATGAAGCGTCCAGAAACTTTTCCCAACTATGCTTTCATACTTATATATGTATGTGCTATTTGTGGAGAAGACATATAATATGCTGCACTTAAAGGCAAGCTTAACTCTGTCAAGAATTTAAAATTTTCAAATTGGCAAGCATGATGATTCTAGCGCATTTTATTTAACCAAATTCAGATGCAGGTGCAGCTTTTGACCAATTTCAGCAACATGATGTCTAGCTTTTTCTTGTGTCCCCAGAATACTAATAGCCTAATTGTAAACATGCATATAAATTACATGCTGATCATAAGCAAAGATCATAAGACACAGTGTATACAAGAATCCATACAACTCAATACAAGCAGTAAAAACAGAGTATTGAATTCCTAGTATGAGAGTGAAAAAGAGAAAGAGAGTGGAAAAGAAATGCGGCTCAATGTGGGGAAAACTGAGTCAGCAAAACACTGATCTAGAGGAAGATGAAGGATAAACAGTAGAGTCAAAATACATATATCATTTCATGCACGCTAAAAAAAAAATTAGTTCCAAACATCCCTACAACATAGTCCAACCAAAAATTGATAGCCTTAAAAGTTCCCTATAATGACTAAAACAGAACAAAATAGAAAACAAAGGATATGAAAGAAATTGTTTTCTTGCTTTTATGTCATTGTTTTGTTGCCTATCTCTTTGGTTCGCTTGCTTGGAAATTGTTTTCTTGCTTTTATGTCATTGTTTTGTTGATATTTGGCTGAGTGCTAGTGTACTTTTATTTTTCGTTTGTAGTTCATAGCTTGCATGCCAAACTACAAACTTTGATTCTGGTTTACTATAATAGAACAGGACAGAAGATGGTAAGCTTATGTATTGATTATAGTAAAAATGGTCCCCTTGGGCATACATTTAGTTGGTGGGTGCAGCAAGTTTGGAAAATAACCAAAATACTGTTGATTCAATCACATAAAATGCATTATTATACTCAGCATAATCAACTGAACTAGATTATTGATTATCTCTTTACTCTAGTATACCTTGCACCTGAATTTATGTACTTTGATTCTTATTTAGTCACATGTAGTTTATATCAAGGAAGATAAGCTTTTCAGTTATTGCTTGAGACAAGCCTATACAATCTCCACATTTGATGTATTACACAAAACATAAATTAGAGAGTTGTAAGTAACCACGCTTGGGTTAATGCCCCTATTCTTCATTTCTGAAAACAGTTTATCATATTTGCAAAGACCATCAATAATTCTATCATAACAAACAATATTAGGCTCACAAGTGACACCAAATTCACCATTCCCATTAACCATTTCTTCAAATAACTGAAGGGCAACAGTGACATTGGCTGTTCGACACAACCCAGTAATCAAAGTCCCAAAAGTAATTACGTTAGGCGTACAACCAAAAGAACCCATTTTCCTAAGCAATTCAATCGCCTTCTTAATCTTATGCTCCATACAAAGACCACTAATTAGACAAGTAAAAGTCACAGTATGTGGGTAAAAACCCCTCCTAAAAATACTCCCAAAAACAACAAAACCATCATAAACCCTGCCTCTTTTGCATAAGCAATTAATGACAATGTTCAAAATAACCAAATCAGACAACAGCCCAGCTGAAACGAACCTCTTGTACAGCAAAAGGAGTTTATCATAATGTTTTTTCTTAGCGAGTGCAGAAAAGAAAACACGGAATGATGAGATAGGAGGAGTGGGGTGCATATGAATCATGTAATCGAAGAAACAAAGAGCTTCATCAAGAGAGAATTTACCAGATCTGCAGTTTACATCGAGGAAATTTTAAAGTTGAGCATGGTGTTTAGAAGTAGAGGTGTGTTTGGGTGATTCTGTGAGTTGATTTTGGGAAACTGAAAATGAAGATAAAAATCTAAGTTTTAAAGTTGATTTTGAAGAAACGAGTGAAGTTTTAAGAAACATTTTCGACTGAATTTGAGAGGGGATTTGTGAATTGTGAAGGGGAGGAGTTGAAAATTATTAATAAAATAAAAAAACCGAATTTTTTGATATATATTAGAAGCTGCCCTTTTTAAATTTTTAATAGACTATTGAAATATCTGATTTGCCCCTGAAACATTGAACTTAACGACGCCGTAACCATTATCACTTATAAATAGGGTTTCAATTCTCAACCCCCCTGATAGATACGAAAATTTTCGCCCCCAGGGGTTTTGGTAAGTATTAAAAACCCCCCTGCATCACCTTTCCTTCACTCTTTTATTTTTTTATTTTTTTATTTTTTTTGGGCAATGCTAAAAGTACATAGAATTTTACAAAGATTTATTGTACTAAGTGATCTGATAGAAGATGAATGGAAGAGTAAATATGATAAGTTTAACTTTTAGTTATATTAACTCTTCTATTCATCTCTTATCACATCATTTTATACAAGAAATCTTTGTAAATTTCTTTGTAGCTTAAGCATTATTGTTTTTTTTTCTCCTTTTCTGCTCTTTTCTCTTTCCTTCTAATTCTAGTAAGAATAATGCTACACCTATAACCTCTTTCATAAACTTTCTCTCACAATCCTAATGTAATAGTTGGTAATTAGTCAGCCGCAATTTATCATGTAACACCTATTACGAGCTGACCAATTACGAGCTATTATGTCCATTTTATGAGAGAGAGTTTGTGAAAAGAGATTGTGAGTATAGTATTTTCTTTCTAGTAATAGTAAGAGAGTGAGTTACTGAGTTATAACAGGAAGTGGGACTAGGGGGTTTTTTAAAACTTTTCTAAAATCCTGGGGGCAAAATTTCCTTGTCTCTCAGGGGATTGACAATACAAACCATCTATAAATATCTACACCACTAAGTACTGACTTCAAGACAAACCAACTCTCAATATATACACTACTGAGTACTGACTTCAAGATTTTAATTTCAAAATCTCCCTCGAACTCTCTCGGGACTCGGGAGCGCATTCTCTCTTTCGCCATTTTCTTCCGTGGGCTGTGGCGGTAGGCTCTCTCTGTGACTTATTTAACGATTGATTGCTAGAATATAGCGACATCTAGAATTTCGACATATTTATCAATTGTTCTTGCTGAAAGCATCCCTGATTACTCTCATTTAAAAGTATTTGGCTACTGTTCTTTTTTTTTTTTTTTTAAAGAAAGCGAAATAAGGCGAGCTAAACGAAACAAGCGAAGCAAGCAGCAAGAGAAGATCGGTAGTAGAAGGTAACGAAATAGAGACTTAGAGAGACATCAGAAGCGAAATTCGGCGATAATAAGATCAGGTTATAATAAATGTCGTATTTTTAATTCGATAATAAGATTTTTTTTTTCATATTTGAGAAATGTTTTTTTTTTTCTCTTAACCAATTTTATGAGTCTACACTTTATGAATCTATTCTATTATCATAGATTGTATAGTATACAGAATTGAATAAGAATATTCTATATATTTCGAATTCTATATTGAAAATTATACTTTCTTCTATTACAGTATTAATCACCACAGTTGGAAGTCTGTTTCTTATTTATAGTGATAATCATATGTCTCGTTGTGAAGGAGATTTGAGATTTTTTGCTTATATGACTTTTTTTTTAATACTTAGTTAGAAGTTCTAATTTAATACACACTTATATTTTTTGGGAATTGGTTGAAATGTGTTCTTTAAAAGCATTTGGAACTAATCGTGTCCAGGATTTTGGTTTATTATTAGGAATTTTGGGACTTGATCGAAATTTTCAATATCGTGGTATAGTTCTGAAAGGTAGTCTTCTGGTGTTAGGTTCCCGTGAGGCTGATCTGAGAGGAGTATGATTAACAATTGCTTAAGAGTTATGGATATGGAGAGGCTTGATTGATTAAGCTCATACAGGGTTTGTCTTTTCAATAGATTATTGCTATGTTTGTATCATTTATCAATTGCTTGGTATTGTATATTTTATCCTTTACAGAGTTTTTTATTTTTTTATATATATTTATTAAAGAGAATGTTGTGATTTCAGATGGCTGACAATTAAAGGATTTAGCCGCAAACTTTTCCAGCACTGAGACTGACACTGATGACTTTGTGGCAGTCCTGGACGAGTTGTTGGACGGTGAAGCAAAGAAAAGGGCAAAAAAGTTCCACTCATGGGAACCAATGAATGTGTTGAAGAGGCATGTATGTAGAGATGAAGGATCTTTCGAAGGCACGTGTTGTGTTTGTGGGCAGAGGTTGGAAAAGGATTTGGGTGTGCCATTGGGGTATGTACACAAGGTTGTTATACTTATCTATTTCTTTTTCTTCTTTTTTTTTTTTTTTTTTTTGGTTTGTTAATACTATACTAGCAGTATATTTGTAATTTGCTCTTGTAGTGATAATGTGTGGGAAACAATTGTAATTGTAGGGTCTAAGGCTTGGAAACAATTGTAATTGTAGGGTCTAAGGCTTGGAAACAATGATGTCGTTAGATTGCGAACCCAGGACATGAAAAATTTATCACGAAATGAAAAAGCTTTACTTGGTACTCGACCTTGATCATACACTGCTCAATTCAACTGAGATAATTCGTTTGACTCCACAGGAGGAATATCTGAAGATTCAAACACATCCTCTGCAGGGTATGTGATTGTTGCCTATCTCTGTGGTTGGCTTGCTTGGAAATTGTTTTCTTGCTTTTATGTCATTGTTTTGTCGATATTTGGCTGAGTGCTAGTGTACTTTTATTTTTCTTTTGTAGTTCATATCTTGAATGCCAA